ATATATATATGTGTATAACTTAAAAATAATCATTTATTTATAATAATTTTACATATAATTTAAAAGGAAAAAATGAAGAAACATCGAATCAAATAGACTTGATACTTTTTAGACTTAATTTTTACCGGTTTAGCCAAATCTAATTAGCTTGTTAAACTAGGTCAAATTGGTTCAATCTTTTTTGATCTTAAAATTAAAAAGTCCAATTAGACTTGACCTAGTAGACCAACGAGTTGGATCAATTTTGACAAATTTACTAGTTAATACATATTATAAATTTAATATCATGAATAAAAAACTATCAATACATGAATGATTATATGTTAAAAAATGTCACATAAGAGATAAAAAAAAAAGAATCAATTTTTTATTAAATAGATTAAAAAAATTGTCTAAATTTGGCTCTTGATTATTCAAACTTTATCATTTATGTTATTTTTTTTATTATTAATTATATTATTTTTAAAAAATTATTATTGTCTTTTGAAATCTCATAAAATCCTTCCAAATCTTATAATTTTTATAATACAAGTTCACTAAAATTTATATTATAAAATTTTGATTATAAAAATTACTCTCCTAAATAAAATTATCTTACAAATAACTTTTAAATTAATATAGTTTGTAGAAAAATCGATTCGAATAGTTCTAAATAAAATAAAATTATATTATATTATATTATAATTGATACTATAAAAATTTAATTTGATTAAACTGGATAATTTTCATCCAGAAAACTTAAATTCAACAAACAAATAGTATAAATTGTACTATATGGACTTAATAATAATAATAATAATAATAAATAAATAAATAAATAAATAAATAAAACTCACCCATGGCGAATGAATCTGGTTTCACAATGCATTAAGGTTCATTAATTAAACTTTAATGACGTTAAAATAGAGGCAAATGTATGAATGATGTTTAGCGTATTTTCTTCTCTACGTAATGATGCTATATTTATTTATGCATTTTGTTGACTTATGTTTTAGTTTAGCCTTTTGTCCAACCTCTACTTGGAAAAAAAAGAATCTGAATTTAATTAATTAATTTCAAAGAGAAAAGTGAAACGAAGGAATGAGAAGGTTGTTTAACATTTTCAAGAACATTTGGACGGCTGCAACTGTCAAGAGCTTCTGAAGCTTATGGTTTGACCTTAACAAAGTCCAAATTACAATTCACGATTTAGATATATGCTTCTATATGAATGATTATCTTATATTAAATAAATCTATTACGATATATTTCCTACTTAATATGAAAGTACAAATTGTATCCCTTTAGGAACATCTATTCTATACAAACACCCTCTTAAAGTTCGCATAAAGGAAAACGTTATTCACATCAAGTTGGTGAATAAGCCACCCTCTAATACAAGCAAGAGTGTGATGATTGTTTTAAATATTTATGTTTTGTTCTTTCTACATATATGATAATAATTATTACTAATTTTTTTTTTAAATTGTCCCTACTAAATTCTAAATCTTAAATTTTAAACTAATCAAAGGTCTTAAATTCGTAGCTGTTTGTCAAAAGGAGGTGACTTAATTGAAGTCAAGTTTTTAAAAAGTCAAATTAAATCTTAAAAGCTTATATATAATAATTAATAAATTAAGTTCAAACTTTGTAACAATGATTCAAGTTAGACTATGTCTTAGGAGACTCGCTTGTACCCCTGAATGCCTACTATTTTTGTTCTTAATTATAATATTTTTTTAACTAAATTACACCTTTAAAAGAATTAATTAATTTAGTTAACAACATTAAATGTATCAATAATTTAAATTATTTTTTTAAAATTACATTTAATATCTTTTAAATTAACACTCTCTTTTTTCATATAATCATTTTCAACATAATTAATTATTATTTGGGGGAGGAATATTTATGTATTTAATTATCTTCTATAATCCTAATAAGAGGGAGAGAGAGAAATTCTTTATCCAATTAATTAATTTCCAGTATTTAATATCTTATGTCTAAAAGAATGTTAATTAATTATTAATAATTAATTTCAATGTTAATATTGCCTTGTGATATATCCTTATTTATTTATTTATTAATTTTTTTTAATTTCTATAATATTTTATTCTTTTTTAGTTATATCCTTTAAAAAAGTTAGTAAGATTAATAGCAAATTATTTCAACATTACATGGATAAGAAGAAGAAAAATAAATATATCTTAAAGACTAAAACAAAATAATAAAGAACACATTAAAAAAGAGAAATTTCATAAGAATTATTAAAAAAAAAAAAAAAAACTTATAAAGACCACCCAAAAAATGCGTATACTTCAAAGCACAAAAATATATTAAAGCTTTTTTGCGTTTACTGGGTTTGCTCCCAGCTTGGCACTGGCAGCATCCATGCATCGTGTCTTAAATCTGAAAGTTCCAAAACAATAGCATTTCCACATGATGAGAAATTGCCAAACGGTCAAAATTGGACTGATGCATTATGGAATATTTCCTTTTTATGTATGACGGATGGACATGGACCCCATTCCAAAGAAGAAGACAAACGAATTTGGATTATCTCATTCTCATCCGTTAAGAACATGGCAATATAAAAATTATATATATAAGATCATTATTTGTATAAGTCCTATTAGTTTAATTTAATTTGCATCTTTCTCTTTAACAACATAATATTATCATATTTTTTACTAACACGAGAGAATCCTGATAAAAAAAGTTTACAGCAGTTTTGCTTCTGCCTGAACATTTACGTTGGAGAGCATAACATTTCTTTCTTACTGCTTAGAATATTACACCAGCAAATTGTGGTTAGAACTTAACGTCTCCCTCGACTAAGTTGGCAGACTAACTTGTGAGTTGTACAATAAGTTTGTTTTCTTAATTTTTGGTACAATAATCTCTTTTTTTTTTTTTTTTTTTAAGTTTTTATTTAAGAATCAGCTCTACACATGACAGTTACGTCATTACACTCCTATAGTAAAAAGAATAAGGATCAATTGTTATTCTAATAACTCATAAAAATCTCTCATTAGAAATGACCTTACAAGTAAAGCAAGAGACCCTTATTGAAGCATTGCCGTAGCAGCCACCACGATTTCTAAGAATCATTGAGCAGTGGGATCATAGAGTGCATGATTAATTGATTACAAGCTTTTAGCCAATTCAACTTTCATTATGATTTGCGTGGTCATGTTAGTCTGATTTCTCCTAGACGAAAGTCATTATAGATATAGGCCAAACACTCCACATAACCGCATGAGCTTTGCAGTTTATATTTGATAATGATTATTCAAACAGTTAGTTAGCTTATCATCAGGACGAGTAAATATTCATGTTGTATTTTGTGTTTTGAATATCAAGTTTACTATACTATTTTTCTTCCGATATTTTATATACTTGACTATCAAGCTGTAGATACTAGATACACATCGTAATGTCCCATGGATTTTTTTTTTATCTATTAGAATTATAACGATAGCAGAAAAATTTATAGACAATTTTAGAACAGCAAAGTACATGACGCCTTGAGTTAAATTTAACAGACAACTCAAAATAAAAGAAATGATTATAGACAGATCTAACATCGAGAAGGCCTATCATAAGTTGGAGGAAGAGAAGGGCAATACTCATTCATGTTGGCATATGGCTTCAAGGTGTTATAGCCAGGAAGTTCCATCTTATATTCACCAAGAATCTGGCAGAATGGAAGCTGGTCATTCTCATTGTTGCACCAACTTGGTAGGCGTGTTTGGTTGTCCTCGAAAATTCTGAGCATGTATGCATCGCGAATCTGCAAATAACAAGACAGAAGCATTAGAAAAAGATATTATAATTCTGAAGGTGAAGGATCACACACATTTTACAGAGACATCATGACTTACAGTGAACTCAGTCACTTGGATGGAACTAGAAATTGAACCAAAAACTCCGGCCTCTTTATACATTGAAAGGATAAAGGCAACACAAGTTGTTGACTTCCCATCACTGTATACCCATTCATCTTGTTCTGGAATGGTGAGTAATTCATCGAAAGGTATCCCACGCTTCTCAGTTTCTACAATAATATCATGCAAATCCAAACCCTGAAGGCAAATAAAAATGAGAGATCCCATTACTAATGAACAAGGCAACTAGATTATAGTTCAGCAAAACATGCCACTCGAGTTTTGATGCTATCCTGAAACTTGATGAGCTGATATTTCAGTGGAATTTGGCCATGAGGAACTATTTAAACATTCAATTTCAGGAAGAGGAACACAAAAAGTTACAAGAAGTTTATTCAAACCAGCATGTCCTATTTATAATCGCAGACATACATCTCACCAAATAAATTTAAAAGGTTAATGAACATGAAAGATTTCACACGTGACCAAAATTTATCATAATACGAAAAAGTCTAGCATTATGTGAAGAAGTCCTCGTAGAACAATTTTGCATTCAATAAGCAAAATGAGTACTGAACAAAAACCAAGGCATGTAGAATTTGTATCTTGAATCTATTGAAATTATAGAACAGCAACAGAAACAAACTTTGAAGTCATTGACAAAACTAAATATCAGAAAATAAGTCCATTTCTGGTTTTGACGGAGTTGGGTTCCCATAAAGTAAAAGAAATCAAAGAAAGACTACTTTTCACTTCATTTGATTGGCGCAGAATTGACGGACTTTTAAGGCCAGTTATTTTATTTTTGTCAAAGAAATAAAGAAAAAGACTACATATAATTAGAGCAAATGGATACTCTTCATCCGACTGAAAGGTTAAACCAGCACCAAGACTTACCTGAGTCCCTAACCGCTTATTCAATGCTTCATTCCACATATTTGCAGAATAATCTGGCTGCAATCTAGTCCACATGGACATGACAGAAATTACCTGCACAGAAAACATGCCATTCAGAATCAGACTTCCATTGCACTCGAGGTCTAAGTCTAAACCTACAAGGACATTTTAATGTGATGCCATTTGAGATATACAGGGGCAAGGTAGAGATTTTTCTCTTCATGCACCGTAGGGTTCAGCATTGTATAAATACATGTAAGCAAGAACCTTTCTCTAGTAAAGGAAAAAGAAAACATGTATATATTACCACCAGAGTAGTAAGTGTAACATCATCAAAATATACAGTACTGTACTGGAAAAACAGCAGGTTTTCCAGACAACTTGCTGGTTCGATTGTACACTCACAAATTATGATACATTTATGATTTAACCACTAACTAACAAGGACAAGTTTACTACCAAGTGAGCATCAAGAGGTGGTGGGTAGTTGTCAGCTACAGTGTCAATCCAACTGAATATCATATTGTGATAACCATATGGCTTGCCAGACATGCTCCGAGCATACTCCCATGCTGCAGTGGTGTTAAATTTTGCACGTATTTCTGGATGCAGGGGAAGCAAGGCTATCTGTGGATTGGAACTATCTTTGAGGGACAATTCCCACCATTCTTCCCATGGAATAACAGCTATTATTTCTTCACCCTGCACAAAAGCATATCATGCTGTTATGATCAATTAAAATATCACTGAGCTGAATCGCCACCACCAACAAGACAACAATCATGAAACAATTACGAAATTCCAGTTCAACCAACATTACATGATTACATGTCCAATGTTATAAGAAAAAACAAAATTATAAAAATTGAATCAGTTTCATACCTTGTCATTCTCGTGCCCTGATTCACCAACCCATAAATTGCCGAATTCATCCTTCAAACAAACTGCTGTATGACCAGCAAATGCACCAGTCACCCACTTTTCTAGTGTCTCAAAACCTCCCCACCTACCCCGGATCTTGGACACGGCCAAGAAGTCTCCAGAATGAACATCCGCAGGATCTATATATGCACGCCAAGGCTGGCTCCGTTTCTCAAATGTAGCCCCCATGTGCTTCTTCAGGAAATCCAGGTTGGCTTTCTGACCCCAACCAGTGTTTGAGAACAAAGGCAAAACATCAATCAGAGAGACCAACGTTCCCAGCATCCCTGATGGCATAAGAAACACAGAAACCCCGTGCTGCTTCACCTGTTCCGTTCAGCAACACATTAAGAACTTTGAAACAGAATACATACAGAACTACTACTACTACTAATAATAATAATAAAATTACATATTCCAACTCTGCAGGGTCTTCCCAGGAGTCAAATTTGATGGTATGTTCTCGCGAAGTGAAGTAGTAGTCCCACGTAACCCTGTAAGGCGTAGCGAAAACGTAAAGATCCATGCAGGTCCAGCTATGTGCAGACTCTGTATTGAGATAGAGAACAGCACCCTGCAAAGATGGGTTGAGTTGAATTCTGGCGGTGTTATTGTAGAAGCATGCCCCTTTCCAGTGAATGGAGCCATTGGTGGGAGAGAGGGACCCAACGAAATAAGGAAGCAAGTCGACGGCACTGTGCAGGTTGTTCATGACCGGCCACGATATCCCACGTGGCAGCACCGGGAGCACGTCGTTTACTCTAAACGGCACCTTCATGCCATGCCCCTCTTTGCACCCCAACGCTAATGCCATCATCACCCATGCCACCACCACCTTAATTGGAGCCATGGAAAATGCACCTGATTGATTCATCGATTTAGGGCTTTGGCCTAAGGGATTATCTTCTTCAGGTGGGACCCACTGGGTATGGCATACGTGGAGAAAGAGAAACTCTTGGTCTTCGTTGACTCCAACCTTGACGGACTCTGCAATTTGATGTACCGTGCTGTCGGGGAAATCTAACTGTGTGAACACTAACCAATCAGATAATGACAACGCATTGAAGTTTGACGGTTATGAAACAACTAAATACTACGTGATTCTCCGGTGAGTTTGTTTTCAACGCTGGCTATTGGATACGTTTCTACCCTATTCCAAATCACTTGCCATGAAATGATTAATATATTCTTCGTGATTGTTAGTTGTTGATATAAGATAAAAATGTTTATGATAAGGAGACATTATTTTGATAGTGTAATAATACATGTATAATAAAATTGTACCTGCGGATACCCCTTCGGTCACGCAACAGGCCGAGAGGGGTACCCGAACCGAAGGAATATACCGTGTGGCACCCCCTCGGTCAGACGATAGGCCGAAGGGTCATACCATGAGGCGTAGGGGGCACCCCTTCGGTCAGGCAATAGGCCGAGAGGGGTGCCCAAGCCGAACACTTGAGGCCGAACACCTCTTCGGCCTCAGGGGAGGCCGAACACCTCTTCGGCCTCAGGGGAGGCCGAACACCCTTTCGGCCTCATACCTAGCCGAGGACTTCAACAAATCGGCCATCAAGGACGAGTCAAACGCCTCGGCATTGACCTAGGCCGAACACCCTCTCGGCCTCATGGGAGGCCGAACACCCTTTCGGCCTTACGCCTAGCCGAGGACTTCGACAAGTAGATCACAAACAACACGTGGCGAGTTAGATACTTATTATGCGCTGATTACCATGACAGATTAAGAGGAGATTAAGACTAATTCAAGGGTCACCCGTCTCCCAAGACTGAAGGCCCACCAGGCCCAATTGTGTCACTATAAATATACAGGTAGTATGACATAAATGGGGTACGTTACTATTCCACCAACATATTTATTGTTCCAAACCGAACACTGACTTGATCGTCGGAGTGCCTTTGCAGGTACCCTCCCCACACTCGGAGTTAGTAATTCGATCGGCACAGAAGACTCGGAAGGATACGAAGGCTGCTAAGGAGGAAGTAAGGAGACAAGTGTTCTTGTGACAGGAACAAAAATTGTATAACTTACATAAAAAATCAAAAACATAATTAAGGTTTATCCTAAATATATTATTTAGTTTAAATAGATTTTATATTAATGTTAGTTATAAATTTAATTCAAATCTTTAAAAATTAATGATTATGTCTTATAATTATCAACATAGAAATTTTAATTTATTACTCATAATTAGAATTGGTGGTAGTATTTATTAATGATAAAAAGATGTAAACATAGAAAGTAACATTGTACACATTCATTTATACATGGATTATTACTCCTCTTGATATTTCGTTTTCTCAAAAGGAACAAAGAGTATAGATAACGTATGTATACTATATTGGGTGAGTTGCAAGCAAAATAACCAATATCACACCATTATATGCTGACACTTCAGAAAAAATAAATATCAAATATATGGTGACACTTAATTAGAAATTGGGAAAGAATTCTAAAATTGTTGTAATACACTTCCTCGCATTATAGGGTGATACTTTTTGAATATTGAAATAAATGGAACACTCCATTAATTAACACTAATAATTTATGTTTATTTCTCTCTTCTTAACACACATATCATCTATTATATTAATTATTTATCTTTCAAAGTGTAGATGTTTCTTGAGTGTTAAAAAAAAACTCTCATTTTGTAAGTTTTCAACATTTAAGATTTTTTTTATATGTAGGATGGCAATAACAAATTTAGAATTTAAAATTTTATACATATTATTAAATTCTTTACTACTAAACTGAAGTTAGTGGTTACATTAAACAATGTAAAATGTTAATGATTTATTAGCAGTGGTTACATTAAACAATAATGTTAATTATTTATTAGCACATATATGCGAGCTTAGAAAATTCTAGCTCAGACAATATTAATTTGTGGCCAATGAATTATGCGTGTTTCCTTATGTGGAGAGTATTTAATATTGGATTTGAGTGCATGCAACAATGTCTAACTTAAATCAAATACAACAACCCTAAGGGAATATCTTCGTCTTCTTCTTTTTGAAAGAACTAAGGGAATGTCTAGCACTAACAAGAAATAATATTTTGAATATAGTGACCCCATAAGTTTGTCAAATTTTTCTTCTTAGGGCATAGTAGACGTCCACGACACGACTTTCTTTTTCTTTCTTACAGCCTATTCAATATTGGTGATTGTTAGTTTTGATTAAATGTATTAGTTTGGTATGTGAAGTTTTGGATGTAGGCAATTAAGGAAAAATGAACTTTTTTTGGTTTTCGCTTGAGTGATTTCATGGATGTAGTTTCTCATTCCAAGACAAATTTTGTTGGCTAAAATTAATGAAGTTGCAGATGTTTTCACTATTGGTAAATTATTTGTTGGCACCGGAATTAGTTGATCGATTTTGTGAAAATGTGAGCAACAATTATAGTTAACCCGTGTTAAATTTGTGGTCCCTATATTTGGTTGTTCGCTTTATTGCATTAAATTATTTTATTTTGGTTAAGTGATTCTTTTTGCCAGCACATATATGACACACATTAATTAATTAAATTAAAAAATCAATTAAATCTTGTTTTGTTTGTTTTCTTATTATGACAAATATTAAGGAGAAAAACTTGGGCATTTTGGAAAGAAAAAAATTGGTTACTAATTCCTCCTTTTTCCACTTAATTGGATGATTGGATCCAAAACCATTAACAAATTATTGTTATTATTAGAATTACCTATGCTTGTTATTGAAGTTATGTTTCGGTCTCATCATTATTATATCAATTTTCTATGTTTGGATATACTTTGTTTTACTTTTCCTTCGAAGTTTCACTTGAGTAAAACTAATACTTCTTGTGCAAGCACCTTATTAATTAGGCTTCTTTCCCACCATAAGTTTTTTTTGTCCATTAAATTAAAGACGAATTTTATTAATAGTATTGCAATTACTATTAATTTAACAAATTTTTACACACAACAAAAATTGAACATAAATTTTTTGCTAAATAAATAATTATTCATTCTCATAACGTGTCAAAACATGGTGCCTAATCATTGTATCAATCCATCAAGTTTAATGAGCTTAATTATAATATTTAATTAGAAAAATAATAAATCATCCAATTGAGACCATAACAAGTGTTACTAGTTTTTCTTACAGTAATATATTTTTTTAGCCACAGATTTTGGTCACTAATGGATATTTAATTTAAAATTTAAATCAAAATTATTCTTTGTTCAATGTAACCGATTATATCACATACCACTCAATTAATAATTGTATCAACTAGCGAGCTATAAAATTCAACATTTTAGTAGACAAAAAGAATGAATTGAAATTATTCCTTGAATTTACATCAATATATCTTAATTAAGTATTTAAGTTTATAATGTCCTCTTTTTTTTTTTTTTGGTAACATAACAATGTCCTCTAGATGTTATGAAAAAGCAAATTAGTACACCTAATATATAAATTAGTTAAAAGACAATACAAAAAGGATGCAGGCCACAAAAGGTCCAAAAAAATGAACCACGGACTCCTAAAAGTGGCCCAAAATATCTACTTTTCTGTATGGTATTATGATGGTATTTTTTTTGGAAAAGAAAAGGTATTGAGAACAAAATTCTCGAATATGATGAATACATCCAAAGTCCATTACCTTAAGAAATATGTTGATTATGTTCGTTTGACCAAAAATTGTTTGCAACCCACAAAGTTGTTCTAGTTCAATAACTGTGCCACAAATAAACCAAAAAATGGAAAGGGATCTTAATGTTTTTCTTTAATCTTTTGGTCAGGGTTCTCACTATTGTTTCTCTTGCTCGTACTAATGAAAATAGGATTATGTTAGTGACTTTCATGCTTGTGTTGACAAAGGTATGTATGAGTTGGGTTGACCCAATATAGTACTATGTTTTTATATAGCCATAAAAATGGTTAAGAATGAGGTAAATTTTAAATGGTAATTTGGATAAAAATGTTGTTCATGGGTGTTAAAAACACGAATTGATTTGAATTCTTGATGCATTGCACTTTCTTAGAGAATTTTCTATCAAGTTGTCATAAAGGACATATCCGTAGACTCTTATGCAAGTCCCCAAGATCTTCCAAGTGTTAGCGTAAGAATGCAAAAATAATAAGTTTTTAATCCAAAAAAGAGAGAATAAAGAAAGTAGTGCTCAATACTACTAACTATCACTAATTCTCACTCTAGATGGGATACCAACTATTGTGACTATAATTGGCCGAAATAATTAAAATCAATTAATTTTTAAATGTTTGATAATTAAAATTAATTAAAACTACAACAATCGAGTTATAATATCTCATTAAAACCTATAATTAATAAAATAATTATTTTGAATTTATATTTAAATTTAAAATAATTTCATGAATTTAATTAACCTTTTAAAATATTTTAAAATATACAACAATCTCTTACATATTTCAAAAGGTTTAGAAAGACATTATGGATTCTCATATAAGATTTAATGCATCAAATTTGGTGTAACAAGCTATTGAATTGGACCTAAATTGATAAAACTTGACACACTATGTAATGAGGGTAACAAGCTATTAAACCCAAAACACTTGACCTGTATCATAGGTAAACAAATCACCATACATCCTATAATCCTTATTGTTATCACTATGTTGCACTTTCAAATTATACAATATTTGTGAGTGTTTTAAAGATCTCGTTAAGATCCCATACAGGCAATTCCACTTGATACTCGTAGGTGATTTCATCAAGTATATATTACAAATTATATACCACTCATAAGATATATGAAAATCATTAAAATATTTATATGATGTTGTCTTAAACTTCAAAAATATGTGTTTTTTTTAATAAATGAGTCGTATTTCTTTTTATTTCTTTCCCTTTTAATCTCAAAATCTAAAAAGTAGATTTTAGTGACTCCAAATAAAAATGAGATTAGACAAGCTCAAAAAATTATTGGTATATATAGTTACATGTATGACTTTCTTAATTGCACCAACCATTTTTTGTAAGGGTATTCTATCTTATTTTTACTATACTTTTTTATTTATGAATATAATTC